TGAATGCTCATATTCGGGAGAAGTTGGAGATGCTATGGTCTTTTTAAAAGAAAGTCACACAGCAAGGAAACAGATCCTGCGGTCCAAGCCGAACCCCCTCCAGTATAATAATATCCTTCCTATAACAGGACAACCAGAATTGCACATAGTACTCCAGAAGAGGTCTCACCACCCAAAACAGTAGAAAAGCAGTCACACTTAAATATAATTAGTGGCTGAGCCTACTGTTTTTTAAAATTACAGCCAAGACAGGATAGCATTTTAGAAAAATCAAAGATGTTAGTTCTGGGTCAGTGGACTGCTTATACAAAAGCAGAAATTGCTGGAAGAAACTCAGTACTGGCAGGATCTGTGGAGAGAAAGCAGAGTTAACGTTCCAGGTCCAGTGACCCTTCTTCAGAAGGTTGGTATATATACTGAAGAAGGGGGTGGAGGGAATGGGGACGACAGTAAACTATTGGTGGAGATGGAACCCAGAGAGAGGGAGAGGGAGAGGATGAGAAAAAGAGCTAGGCAAAGGAATGGGTAATGGAAACTGAAAGAACTGCAGATGCTGTAGTTCAGAAACAAAAACAAATTGCTGGGAAAGCTCAGCAGGTATGGCAGCATCTGTGAAGAGAAATCAGAGTTAATGTTTCGGGTCTGGTGACCCTTCCCCAGCTGCTAACGGAGACCGTGAGTAACTGACAAAGGGTTGTTAGTGGTAGCGGCTCATGTAATATCAAAGCCTGGTGTATGCAGGTTGGGGTAAGGACAAGGACATAGAATCCCTAGTGTGGAAGCAAGCCATTTGGCCCATCAAGTCCCCTCCTAACAGCATCCCACCAATCCTATCCCTGGAACCCTCACATTTCCCATGGCTAATTCACTTAGCCTGCACATCCCTGGACTCTGGACAATTTAGCATGGGAGACATACGTGATGGAACCTATTTCCACAATGTCATTATGGAAACAGAAATACATAACTACATGAATGATCAGAGACTAAAGCATGACCTCAATCCAACAAATTTGGGAGTTACTCTATGTAGGACCTTGGCCTTTTCGGAACATCGAAAGAAAAAAAAAAATGATCAGAACCAGAAATAGTACTAACGAAACCTTTTGGATCTCTACAGGGTTCTGCTACCACAACACAGCACTTGCCCTATCATACTCTACAGTAGAGCATTGTGCATCTATCTGTCTAGCAAAGTTCAACATATGCACAAATCTTGTGTTGCATTCAGTTGAATATCCAATGTGCATCATAATTGAAACCCTCCGTTCACAGCCCTCTTCTGGCTTCCTGTCCTCACATCACTCTCTACATACCTGCTGTGAGAATTGAGCAAACTGGTCAAAACCATTGTGCTATATACCTCACAGCACTCCATGACCACCCACTGACCATCCTGGCAGTCCATGTGGAGCAATCTTCCTCAGCAAGATATACTAGCAGATCTCTGAATCAAGGAATGGGAAACATGGTAAATTACTAACAAGCTGGTTGTGACCATGTTTTGCATTTTTTGTTGGCATTTTAAGGAATCCTACTTAATTACATTATCAAAATGTTACTGGCATTGAATGTTAACTATTATAAGTGAGATGTTTCATTGCTTCATGTTTTAATTATTAATTATTTATAAAATTTAAACCTTTTAAATGTTAGTTTTCCATGGGGGTTTTAATTGATTTGCTATTGAATACACCTATTGTGAAATTAACAATGCCAAAAGAGAAAGAACAATCATTTAAGTACACTGCTGGTCATAAAAACTGAAAGAACTGCGGGTGCTGTAAAATCAAGAACAAAAATAAAGTTGCTGGAAGAGCTCAGGAGGTCTAGCAGCATCTGTGAAGAAAAAGTCAGAGTTAACATTCTGGGTGTGGTGACCCTTCCTCAAAACATGTGCACTCAGGTTCCAGAAACTCAGTTTCTCATACTGTGACATTAATCGGTTTGTATTTTTACTATGAAATTTAAAAAACGAACATCCCAAAACATGCAAAGTCTCATTAAGGGCAGATACTATTCGGCACCCTCTTATGGCATATTCTATCTCAAGCATTCAAAGGTGTGGAACTCTTCATCTTAAATGTGTAACGATATACCTCTAGAGTAGGTATGACTTGAACCTATGCCTTCTGGTTCAGAGCTAGGTAGCCTCTAAACAATCTCAATCATTGGTAAAATCTGGGTTTGCCAGAGACCATTAGATCTTCAGTTTAATGCTCTCCCAACTGAGCTGTTTGGACTGAGCAACTCTAGCTTTAAAGACTTCTTTTCCTAAAGGCTTAATTAAAACTAATTAAGCCTTGTACTACTGTCGCCCGGAGTTACTGTCGCCCGGAGTTAGCAATTTCTCTTGCTCTTTCGGAAGTTTACAAACTACCTGATTTGTCCCTTCAGCTAAGTAAAATCTCAACTGACAAAATAATTTCACTGTCAACAATTTCAAACACATACTTAGAAATTTTTTTATTTAAAATTTTCCAAAAGACAATGGTGGAACAAAGTTCTACCATAAGTAGAAAACTTTTAACTTACAATCTAGTGTCATTGTATACAGGCAACTGATTATTGGATATTTTCTTCTTTATTCAATTTGATTAATTATTAACCAGCAATTTAGGCTCCCAAGTTTTAAGATTAGGAGACAGGACAATTTGTACTGGCACCAGTATGTTGTTTAAGTGTTCAGAAAGGCCTTTCTCACAGCTGACATTAGCGTTGACACTGTTCATTTTTACTTTAGCCATTGTTTTAACTCTTGAAGGTAGTTTCCGAGATATTTCACATGGCTTTAATTTTCTTCTAAATATGGCAGGAAAATACAGATGTCCACAAAGTAGTATTGACTTGTGAACTATACAGTTGCCATAGTCAGATTATGGATGACTATTCAATAAAACACACACCAATTTAAATACAGCAGCAATAAATGAGTGTAGTTATAAGCAGTTTCTATAATTGATATTTCCCTCATATGCATAACTAGAAAGACATAATCAAATCAGAAATTCTGATTGCAAGATCTCATTTACTCAAATAATGTATAAATAAATAATGTATAAATAACAAATCTGGTCAAGATAGCTTTTTTTTAAAAAGAATGGAGAGAGTTTAAACGTGTACATTTCATCAGTTAAGATTAGGGCTTGAAGCACATCCCATTACATGCCTCCAACATAAGTACATTCGACAATTTGAGGAAAAGCTTACATTTTTAAATTAAAAGCACTTAGAAATTCATGAGATGCATTTGTGAAACAATGCCACAATATTTTTGAACTTTTAGCCAGGGCAAATTCAACATATAGGGTAAACACAGATCTAACGAAGTATTATAATAATACTCTACCAGATACAGACTTGGCTAATAGGTGCGAATGCAAGTTCCAACAGTACTGCTAAGGAGAAAGAACAAAATATTGTCTCACGAAAAGCTGAATGTACATAAGTGACATTTTGTATACTAAACAGTTACTTGATGCTTACGTAATGCGTTCAAGGCCTCATATTGGGGGGACGGGGGTGGATTGCAAGCAGACACTACATAGTGTAATCTAACCCACTGTAGCTAATGAACTTTAAGCTGTATATGCCCAGCATTACTATGTGCTGAAAATTTGTACAAAACACATTCCTGGAATATCTTTCACTTTAAGGTAAACACATTGTTCAGAGATATACATGGAATATACTACCCACTTCTAGATCTCAAAGCTGGAATGTGACAGGCAAAAACTTGCCATTTTGTATAACATTTGCAGTATCCTCCATATGAGATGAATACTTACAATTTCCCTTTCTTTCCAATTCAGGCAAAGGTATGTTACATTTCTATCTAAAAACTAAACCTTAACAATGGCAGAAGGAAAACAGAACACTGTTTATGTATGCCATGTTATGCTAGTGCAGATTTTTGTAAAATCTAATAGAAGTATTTAAAATGATATTGCAATCAAGACTTAACAGCAATATGCATTGATACAGCACCTTTAACATAGCAAGATTACATAAAGCATTTAATAGAAATGTTATCAAACAAACTTTGACACCACAACAGGAGAACAGGTGACCAAAAAATTTACAAAGAGGCAGGCTTTAAGGAATGAGGTTGAGGTGGAGGAACAGTGAGGGAACTCAAGAGTTTAGAGCCTTGGGAATCAAGAAGTTCATTACCGGTGGAGAGCTGAAGGAACCAGGGGGTCTGCAAAAGTTTAGAATTGAAGCAGCACAGGGAGCTTAAGGGTGTCGTGGACATAGGGAGGAGCAAGGCCATTGGAGGGATTAAAACACAAGCTTGAAAAGACATCCTGCTACATAAGAATACAGATTAGTAGATACATTTCACAAGATTTTCATTCACAGCTAGAATCAGTGAGCAGTGTGCTGTTTTCTTTTGTGTTATTTCCCCAATCTTGACAGGAACCTTTTTATTACAGAATTTTGCCAGAAAAGCTTGTTAAATAATTATGCCGTGCAGAAAAATTTCTTCACATGCAAGACAACATGCCACTACAGGTAACTTTTTCTTGAATGAATCAAACTTTTTTTAGAATAACGTTAAAGTGCAAACAAATTAAGGGCTTTTAAGATATTTGAAACCATTTTAAATATATGATTTAAAAGAGTCTATATCTGTTTCCAAAAACTTGAATTTTCAATGTCTTTACAACATATGAAGGTATTCATAAAATAATGAATTAAAAAAAACTCAAGCAGCACTTAGCCCTCCACTTGTTCAATTATAAAATGTTTACTTTAAAAAATAAGCAACGAGAAGTAAAACTCTGCATAACAGATCAGTCATGTCTTTCAGGAATAACTGCAAAAGTATGCATCCTGATCCCTTGTTAGAAAAAGGTGATACATATCATTCTATACCATTTTCTGCTGTGTAACATATTATAAAACCAAACCAACATTACACACAAATCTATAATAAAGATGGTTCAGATATTACTCTACTTTAGAATTTAACACCAGATAGTACTCAAATTAAGTTATGCGGCCAACTGTCTCGTTTATTGAGTATCAGGAAAATGTTTTTGAAGAGTATAGCAATTTCAATTTGATAATTATATTGACCAATTTTCCTGCTGTACTATACATTGAGACATTTCAGCAATAATTCAAAAATCAAAATTCAGTATAAAGCAAGAAAAAAATAAATTAAGTCAGACAGAGCAAAAAGAGAGATTCTAATCCCAGTGAATTAATTCTGAAACTGTCATTAAGTCTCAATTAGCATAATATTAGAACAAGCGTTACAGAATGTTTGGCAAAATGCAACAATGCATTTCAACAAGAGAAATCAGACAGGCAGTTTTTCCAGAACACATTCCCTCAAAATGTAGATTTTCATATCTTGCTGAATATTTGTTCAAACAAACAATATCTTACAGCCTCCAAAACAAAGTGTCACCAATGCTATTCTATCAACTGTTTCTTCCACCAGTTACTTCCTCTTACGGCATTGATTTCTTTAAGAGGTAGAGTTAGAGAGAATACCTTTGCCTTTACATAGGGCTTTTCACCTCAGGCTGTCAAAAATGCTTTGCAGTAATGAGCTGTAGTGCAATCACTGTTGAAAAAGCAACATTCTTAATGTGCAGTCAATTTGTTGACAGCAAGCTCCCAGGGCCAACGTGATAATCATTGGAATTTTCTTCCCTGCAGTATGGCTAAGGGATAAATATCGGCAAGATTTCAATACCAGTTGCCTAAGTGGTCACAATTCACATGCAAAACCTTGATAAGATCAACAACTCTTGTGGGGTTTGGCAGTTACACCAAGGAAATTAAAGTAGGTTAGTTTAATCTTGTTTTCACCTGTTATCCATACAGCACACTTATCAAGGCAGATAAACGATCAGTAATCAGGAGCCTGACGTTCCCTTTGCCAAACCAGGGGTGCATGGAAATTTTGTATCACTACACACCCCATCAAATTTTAAGTTAACAAAGACCAAGTTTTGAACCTGGAAGCTTCTTGATTTGTACAGTACAAGTATCATCTAAGCACGTTGACACATTGAAGGCAACTGCTCTTCCCTGAAGAAGAGAGAGGTCTGCTATCGTTCTCTTTTTACATATTGCAATGGGAAAACATGATCCTTGACTAAATTTTTGGCCACCTGTCCTAATACTGATTCAGTGTCAAACTCTGTCCGCTAATTCTCCTGAACCACAGCTCACTTGACAGCATCCTTACCCTGAGTCAGAAGACTGTGGGTTCAAATACCAGTCCAGGACCCGAGCACAAAATCCAAGGCCAATATGCCAATGCAGTGCTGCTGGTCCCTTAGCATTATTTAAGGAGAAAAGGTACACTCTGATATTCTGGACAATACTTTATCCCTCAATCAACAATACAAGTTCATGTGGTTATTACCACCTTGCTGTGTGCAAATTGGCCATTACATTTCCTATGACAGTGACTACACTTCAAAGTGTTTCATTGGCTGTAAAGTGCTTTTGGTCATCCTTATGATATGAAAGGCACCAAATAAATGCAAGTTATTTTCTCTATTTCCTGTGAAGCACCTCGGATATTTTGCTGTATTAAAGGTGCCAAATAAATTCAAATTTTTCTATCAAAACTCAGATTTTAAATAGCCAATCAAGCGAGAGCTTTATTCTCAATGAAACTATTACAGCATCTTTGGTGAACTGTGAGATGTTTTGAATTCTAAATCCAAAATAACATCCTAGTTATTGTTTACTAATGAAAATGAAGTAGCTTTTAGTGATTTACATTTGTTAGTGAGCAAAATTGTATTGACCCACCGTATGATGCAACCACCTTCTCCTCCATAGTTTCAATACGATTGGTATACAAAATATCAGTGACATCTTTCATTGTATTATTGCCTGTTGATGAATAGGCATTACTACCAATCTAAAAGGGGTTTCCAAAATCTATTGTGGGTTAACTAGCAATACATTTCAAAGACTGTGCAGTTAATGACATTCTGAACTGTCAGTTGTGCGTTGTTTTATTAATACTTGCTTCTATTGGTTACTACGTAGATATTCTTCCTCAAAATCTAGAAATAAAAAAATGATAATTTTGTTTCCAAAATTGTAAGATCGGACAAATCCATGCCTTTAATTCCATATTTTTAAAAATCATTTTTGTAATTAAGATAATTGATTTGGCATCTCATTCTAAATCATAATGACAGAATATTTCAAATTTATATACAAGGGGTAAAACCTCTTTGTCTGAGAAGTTATTTTTAGGATCGACAGCCAAGGAAGACGCACATTAGAAGATGGATTGTTTTGAATGAAATTCCATTATCCATCTCAATTTAGTCTAACATCGTTAAGCGCAGGTACATATTAACATTCCTTACCAAGCACGGAGATAAATTTGTAACAATCCAGTCACTTCATTATATATAAAATTTTAATGGAACCATTAAAAAACAAAATGCTGCAAATACTTGGTCAGACAGCATCTGCAGAGAGAGTTAGTGATACAAGTTGATGACCATGAATGTTAATATTATTCTCTTCAAGGTGCTGTCTATTAATATTAACTTCTGCATTTCTTCCAGGTTTCCAGCATTCAAAATTCTGCCTTTCAATTAATATTTCCTAGAAAATCAGTCTGTGGTTACTAAGGATTAGCTATACTAGTCTTCCATATTGGTGTCACTGCATTCTGAATTGGAAGTACTTAGTTCAGCATAGGTTCTATCATGATCTATACTGCATAAACAGAAGATCAGCTATACTTGGATTAGGGTTAATAATAACAGGATTAATAGCCCAGTGGAAGGGGTCCAGCTCTGGTTGGGATGCTCTTTGGAAGGTTGGTGCAGACTCAATGAGCCAGATGGCTTCTTTCTGCACTGTAGGGATTCTATGGTTCTATTCTAGTACCAGCAAATTATCACAAAACCATTATCAAGTCCTTCCTATGAGGAAATGTTAAAAGAACGAACTTGCCCAAACAAAACACACCATCCCCTACTTTGTCAGCTCAACTGATTGTTGTGAAACAAATCTGAATTTTGTCATAGGGAATTAATAATGGTAAAATTATTTGCATCCAATCACAAATAATGTACAAGGTGGCTGCAAGTAAAAAAAGTAAACTGTAATCTGCATTTGTTTACAAACCAGTTGCATGTATTTGAGCAGCCACTGATTTTTCTAGTATATATAAACAGTAACTTGCAGGCACCCCAAAAGCTTCTGCCATTTGATGTTGAACAGCTATTATTTCAACTTCCACCTAGAAAGCTAAACAACAATTAAATCATCATCTCACATTTAGATTTCTAAGACATTTTAATTTATAACTCAAAAAACTCTACAGTGAACTATTCCTTGGCAATGCAATTTCCAACTCACCTATTAATATATTTATATTGAATGAATAAGTGACCAAAATCGGTAAAAATCTGTCCACGTTAGTCCTTCCAGGCAAAAAAATATAATTCGACTAACAGAAACAGCGCAGTCAGATTCTATATCAATACACATTTCCACTAAAATTTGGGAATGTATTTTTTGTGGGGTGAATCTAAATTGTAATAGGGCTGTAAAAAAAACTGAATCTGTATGCTGTTTAAACTGAATCCTGAGTTATTAGATCAGTGATATTTATTTTTCATTATCAAAATAGTCATTTTTTTTAATAAAAAGACATTTTCTGTAAACACTAGTGTAAGGCAGAGGTATTTAGTCATCTATGAAGGTTAGCCTCCCTGGCCCCTCATTTTTCATCCATCGCCGATACCGTTTCCATCGTGGATCTGATGCTACCTTTTTTTTGAGTTCTTCCTCTTGTTCCAGCTTATAAACCTGAAATTAAATAAAAGTCAGTCAATTCAGCTGTATCCTGCTTCCATTTGAGAGTTCACCCAGTGAGTAGCTAAGACCATGTTGACAACAGGTTCATGCTAAGTTAATTTATAACATTGGGAACCATAGTTATAATAGCCCAGTGTTAGATAATGGAACAGGAGATAAAATAATTAGTGTTCTCATTGCAGCCCGACGAATCCTGCTTGAAGTTTATATACATGCTATGGCCAAGAACCAGATCAGGCATGGACACATCCCTCTAGGATCACAGGTAGGCCTTTCAGTCTCTCCAGCATGTTCCACCATTCAATGAGACCATTTCACCCGTGCTCTGATGATCAATCACCACCCTGAAACACTAACTCTGTTACAGGTACTGCCAGACTGACATTCCCAGTGTTTAAGACACGGGTCATCTTTATTCCCCCTATTTCCGCAACCTAGGCTGAACATCCATTGACATTTACTAACAGTCAGTTGGGACAAGTTACCATCAGTTAACTGTCATCCATTGACACACCTCAGCAGAAGGAATCAACAAATTCAGGACTGCAGGAAACGTATAAAGCTGACAAGCAAAAAAAAAAAAAAAAAAAAAATCTCACAATGAATTCTATCAGGGATTCCAAGCAGCCAGCCATCTTCCCAATATAAAATTTAGAATTTAGAACCATGAATCATTGATCAGTTTGATTCCACAAATCTTTTAACTACTAAATTTTACACTTGTCAATGGGCATTACCCTTTGATTTAATTCTTTGTCCTGCGTGCTTAGGTGTGTATGCTACAAATGTTTTAAACTGAATGCTCTCCATTATAGAAACACTATATGACTGAAGGTTCTTAAAGACCAAGAATTTAGTTTTAACCATTGTTTACATAATTTATTGTTCTTGAAGTTGCAACATACAATGCTTACCTCAAAGTTTTCTCGTAACCACAGCTTCCTCTCAAGGAAGATCTCTTTCTGATGATCTTCTAGACTATCAAATTGGCCTTGTGACATTTTCATGTTTTTTCGAATAATATACAACTTTTCTTCTTCTCCATATTCTTCTTGTTTTATATGAAAACGGTAAATCCACCTGCAATACCAGATTATATACCTACAGATGTAATAAGGAGCCAAAACAATTTGGAAGAGGAGTATATCATATATCTGTGGCTTCTGATAGCCTCCTTTAATGTCAATGTTATTTTTGATAATGCCTTTAATGATTTCCTCCTCCTCCTCTTTGATTTCTTCCTTAGAGCGTCTGTTTTTCCCTTTTTCTTTAGTTTTGTTAAGCAGGCCTTGCTGCTTTGCAATTTCTGTGGCCTGGATTCTATACTTTGGCACAGTAGTGAGATAATGAATGGCCTCACTATAACTGCTCCACCAGCTGTAGTACTGTAAAAACAATAGAAATTAAAAATACAAAAGTGCAAAGAACTAACAGTTAAACATAATTAGGTACAGTCGGTAATTCAGCCTGCTCCACCAATTAATATGATCATGCCTGATTTTATCTCAGCCTCAACTCCACTTTCCTGCACACTCCCTATAACCCTTTAACACATTACTAATTAAAAACTGTCTGTCTCCTCCAATATACTCTGTGCATCGTACTCTTGGTTAGTGAATTCCACAGATTCATGATACTTTGAGGGGAGTAATTCATCATTTGTTTAAAGCCACAACTGCTATATTTAGTCTTCGTACAGTAAAACAAATCAATATGCAGACACATTATTGCATCAAAATAACTAAAATTGTGAATACCATACCTGGTGCAAGAAAACAAATTGCTTTTGGTAATAATGCAATTTATTTCAATTAATCTCTATCTCATCGCTCAGGAAGCATAGGGTTCAGCTTGGTAGAGAATGACCAAAGAACAATGATTTAAAAATATTGTAGCTGGGTGGTTTACTTGCTGCCCCATAATGATCACATTGATCATAATTACTAAAATCCTGCAAACTATTCTCTGCACTTCAATTTATAGGCTGTAAGAAATATTGATAAATTTGAACACTAACAGGCTATTGCAACATTTTACAAGCTGTGGAAATCCGAGGTAAACATTAATATATGTATCAAAACAATCATGAAATTACATAAGGAGATTTATTCTGACTGAATTTATCCATCCAGAATGATCCTATAGCCCTTTTTCAGATCTCTTGAAAGTTGATTTCCCTAATTTTATTTAATATTCACCCAAATACTTCTGCAGTCTGTTATTTAACATATGACTACTGCCACTTCAGTAAAATCATTTGTTTTTGCCCTTTTAGGAGTAAGAGTAAACCATACTGTGGGGGTCTGGACTCATGTTGGCCTGATAAGGGTGGCAAATTCCTTTCACTGAAGGAATTTAGCTTACCCCAAGAGATTCAATAAATGGTGAATTTTTCCCATTTTGCAATTTGTGACGGGAATCCAACACAAGATTTTTGGCTGCAAGCATGTAACTGAACCATCATAGCTCGTCAACACCAACTATCACAAAGTGAAACTACTTCAACATTATAGCTACAGAAGAGAAGCATACCAAAATTGCTTTCTAACTGCTAACATACAAGATAGTCCATATCTTTCAGTCCCCTGAAAAATGCAGCAGGTCGTCATTATTTGGCCTATCGTGTCTGAGCTAGCTCTTTGAAAGAGCTGTCCACTTAGTCCTACTCCCCACAACCTTTCCAATTCCTCCTTTTAAACTACATAGTAACTGTCAAAAGAAAATTACCTACGTTGAGGATGGGTTGTTATTTATATTCAAGGCTGAGACAGGCAGATTTTTAATTAGTAAGGGCATCAAGGATTATGTAGAAAACACAGGAAAACAGAGTTGAGCATCATCAGATCAACCATGTCTCACTGAATGGCAGAGCAGACTTGATGCGCTGAATGTCCACTCCTGCTCTTATGGTCTATGGTTTTATTTAATCAGCCTCCAACACTCTGGATTGTAACAACTTGCTGCAGAAAACAATTGTAATTTTCCTCCTTGAATTTTTTTTGCCAATCATTTTAAATCTCTCTTCTGGTTACTGACTTTCCTGTCAGTGGAATCAGTTTCTCCAACAATCTCAACCTCTCAATCTTTAGCTTCTCAATTAAATCTCCCCTCCCCCTTAATCTTCTCCCCTCCAACAAGGATCATTCTAGCTTTTCTAGATGCCTGACAAAAGTCAGAAGTTCAATTTCTAAAACAGTTTATAAACTTATTTCCCATACGAATTAGACTATTTGTTAAACTGGAACTTTGCAAATACAGTTGACAACAGAACACCATGTGAGAAAGATAACTGAGGAAGCAAATTATCAGAAATATTTAAGATGATGTCAGTATAAGTCAGGTCTAAATATAAGCCATTGCGTTTATGAACATGTTGATACTCATCAATAATTGTCAATATATGGCTCAAGTCATGTAGCGCTTACCTACAACTGAACGACATATTGCATAAATGCCTTACCTGAAAGAGTGATATAGCACAAACTGTCACAATTATAACTATCCTGACATCCACTTTGGGTGCTAGCCTTCTCTTGTAGTAATGGTAGTAATGTCTGTAAAATTCATCAGGATGATCAAGCATGTAATCATAATCCTTCCGGGCTTCATCATCCTTTAAGAAACAGGGTTAAAACAAGAAGCAATTATCACCATTATCATTTTTTAAATCTAATATTACCAACTGATTAAAAAGACTGGCAAACATTAAGTAACATGCATTTTTATAATTTCTATTGATAATTCTGCAATTATAAATAGGAAGTGCAGTACGATAAATATCACAGGTACAGTAAGAAGCACAGATTTTGTGGTGTCCCCACCTAGTCTCCAATCCATCCAACAGAATACTAATACCAAATATAACACAATCTAATGTAAGCTTCTCCCAAAGAGCTCCTTTTAAACTGTGTGGAGCTGGAAGAACACCGCAGGCCAGGCAGCATCAGAGGAACAGGAAAGCTGACGTTCCAGGTTAGGACCCTTCTTCAGAAGTGAAGGGTCCCGACCCGAAATGAAACGTCAGCTTTCCTGCTCCTCTGATGCTGCCTGGTCTGCTGTGTTCCTCCAACTCCACACTGTTATCTCAGACTCCAGCATCAGCAGTTCTTACTATCTCCTTTTTAAACAGCAAGAACATTACAGTTTAAGTATGACAAATTGGTTTGATAAAAGAAAATGCACCAAAAAGTAATTAAGAAAATCTTGTTCCAATTACCTATGAGAATATTTTTGGTTTTCATGTAAAACCTGACAAATTAAGAGTCCTGAAAAGTTACTCCTGTAATTGTGGAGAACACAAGGTGATTTCCACTGGACCTAAAGTTAGAAAGAAGGTCATTAATCTGAAATAAACTATTGCATTAAACATTAGTTGATAATTGATCACTCAATGTGCAAATATGGAAAAAGTTTGCTACTGTCATACTGTCTAGATTTTCTGGATTAATAAAATACTAAGCAGCCTAAGGCTAGGACCCAGAGTTATGAGACAGCTTTCTTCTGCAGCTTGGAAATGGGACTGCAAGATTTACTTCAGTGGTGCTTAATGAGGACCAATGTTTACATTTCCAGCATCTTTAGGCTGTATTCTATTGACAACTGTCCACCCTAAAGTGTCAAACAAGCAACGTAAAATTATTCACTACAAAAACATAAAAGTATACATAAAATATACATTTGATTTTTTAAATAGGTAGGTGGTTATTTTTGACTGGCATGGACTCATTGGGCAGAAGGGTCTTTTTAGTGTTCTGTAAACCTCTACAACTCTAAGTTAGTTACCCTAACAATTCTACATTCAAACATAAGTACGAGAACCAAATAAGTTAGAAAAGTCTTAGGTTTGAACTCTAGTATTTGCTGAGCTCAGTAACATTCCCATTTGTGTTACAAAGTTATGACTTGGAGCCTTGCACACATGATCTAGGTTGTCTTTTCACTACTCTACAAGATAGCTACATTGTTGGAGGCCCTGTTGGCCTGTTCAGGTGGATGTATACAATCTCAGGGCAGTATTCAAAGAGAGTAGGGAGTTGCCTTGGTCGCTATAAAACCCTCAGTCAACATCACTAGAATTGATGAATTGGTGGTTTTAGTGCATTGAAGTGCTGCCATTTTGCATACGTAAGTGACTGCGTTTCAAAAATAATTAATTACATGGAAGACTTCATTACATTCTGAGGATCCGAAAGGTGCTATCTGGATCTTCGGACATATGGGCTAATGGTAACATTATGACCTCCATTCAATGACTGAAGCTATGGACAATATTTACTTTTTTCTTATCTAAATCAAATGATAAGTCAGCACTTGTAAATAAACCACCTCAGGGATGTACCAGAAGGTACCTGGGTTCCGCAGAATCCAACAAAAGCCCCCAGTATTTGCATGAAACTAGGGGCATGGAGGAAAAAACTTGACACTTTTCACACATACATTTGTTGCCCAATACTATAGCATCTGCTCTCATCTCAGGATGAGTTAAATATGTCCGTAGTAGATAAGACAGTCAATGATGCAACTTCACACGTCCTTCTCTATTCCAAAGAAGTTCCTCAACTCTTGCTCAGAACCTCAAAATGCAGCAAGGACAGAAATTTGCCAAATTTTATTCTGACATTTTTCAAATAGAGAATGTGATAAAACTGTGCCAAGACAGAAACAATTTTAAAGTCACTCATGAAACTCATGACCGTGAACAGCAGATGAAATATATACATTTTATAATTTTATTCTTTGACAGTAACTGACAAATGATGTATTTGGAAATAAGGTTAGCAGTTCTAAGTCTTGGGTGAAGTGCTTTTGAATAGTTAATCTAGGAGAAGTTGTCAGTGACAGTCACCATTCTTCCATGTAGACCAAAGCAGTTTGCTTTTCATCCAACCATTTAATGTTCTACACATTTTAAAATTAAAAATCACAGTAACCAGAGATGCAGGTTTCCTTTTGCCAGTAGCTGACATTTGCAAACAAGTCTATTCAATACTATCAACACCACCAGGATCCCGCTCCACCACCCCTCCCCGAAACGCTCGCATCCTCTAACAGATGTTCCTCTTGCGCCCATATGCCCCACACCACAAAAGATGTACCGTGCGCCCAACCCACACCTTCAGTGTTTCATAGGCGGTGGCAACCAGCAGGAACTTCTCCTCGGGGTTCTCCCCGGCTTCCGTGGGCCGGTAGCGGTCAGGGTGGAAGCGCCGGGCCAGCTGGCGGTAAGCGCGGGCGATGTCGCTTTTGCCAGCATCCCTCGACACTCCAAGGACGTCGTAGCAAGAGACAGCACCGCAGTACAAGCCTTCCACCAAGCCATCGACCTGGCCCAGGAGGGTGGAGAAAACGGCACAAAATCGAAGCAGCAACCCCACTACAGACCGCCTGCTCGCCGACGCCATGTCAGCGAACTGGCGACCAATGTCATCACACATGCGCAGTTCCTGGGCACTACAGCTTACGTTAGCGGTCGCGTATGGTGAACGTCACCATTTCAAACCCTAACGGCTATTTGTTCGCGCGGGTAATCGTCACTGACCGTTCTTCACGGTGAGTTCGTTCAGGCCATCGTGTCCATACTAGCCCTTTGAACGGCCCATTGTTTCTCATCATTTCTTCTTCCTACCCTTCACGATCCCCCTGAGTAAAGCCCTGCGATCTTCCGCCCATTCAAATAGTTCTTCAATTCCTGTTTTTAAAATTATTAACAACTGTTCCTAGATCTTATTTCAATTTAAATGTTTTCCAAATGTATAATTAATAAGATTGAAGCCTATGGTGCTATCTCATGATGTTAACGGGCTGTACTCGCATTCCAGTTTCAGGAGTCTATGGGTTCAAGCTCCCTACTCCAGAGAATTGAGGGATGACTACACTGTTGGATGCACCAACTTTCATTGAGATGTTGAGTAGTTATATCAGATATTACATATTCACTTCACAGATATTCTGTCCTGTGAAATGGATATGTAATATCTGATAGAACTATTCTAAAGGTTTGCAGGGCAGGTTTCTCCAGTGTTCTATCCAGCCCTTAGCCTCAATGAACATTACAAAAAAAACGGTTCTGGTCATTTGGAGACAGCAAGAACTGCAGATGCTGGAGTCTGAGATAACAAGGTGTGGTGCTGAAGGAACACAGCAGGCCAGGCAGCATCCGAGAAGCAGGAAAATTGACGCTTCGAGTCGGGACCCTTCTTCAGAACAGTTGCCAGTAGCTGACATTTGCCTGACCTTCTGTGTTCCTCCAGCTCCACACTGAGTTTACTGAGTTCTGGTCACTTTGGCATTTTTAGCAGGACGTTGCTGTGAACACGTTGGCTAACCTTTCCCTCATTACAAGAGCACTACACTTCAAAATACTTGATTAGTTGTAAATGTTTTGAGTCAGCCCAAGGTTTTTAAAAAAAAGGTGCTGCATAATTGCAGTCTAACTAACCGGTGCTTTATGTAATTTAACTCCCCTTCCCACTCCCTTGGTGACATGTCCATCCTGGGCCTCCTCCAGTATCACAATGAGGCCACATGAGAATTGGAGGAACAACACCTTATATTCCACCTCCAGAATTTACAGTCCAATGGTCTCAACATAGAATTCACGAGCTTCAAAAATCTCCCCACCCCTGGCCTCATCCCATATCCAGCCCTCCCTCTCATCCCTGCATCCTTGACTTGACACAACCTGTTCTTCTTCCTTCTCACCTATCCGCTCCACCGTTCCAATTGACCAAACTCTACATCCCCTACCTACATTCACCTATCACCATCCCAGCTGCCTTTGCCCAGCATCACCACCTTTCCTTTATCTATTTCTGAGCTCCCTTTCCCCTCCCAGTCCTGATGAAGGGTCCAGATCCAAAACGTCGACTTTCTTGTTCCTCTGATGCTGTGTGACCTGCTGTGTTCTTCCAGCTCCACACTGTATTGACTATGACTTCCAACATTGTATTTCAATTTTCAGTCATTTATATTTTGGACCACTTGAAGTAAAGGCCAGCATCTCAGCTGGTTCCAATTATTTCAACAGAACAGCTAGGAACTTCAACTGGGATTATTTAACAACTTATTTGTTTGCCTTACTGTCATAACTTTTTAATAGCTGGCTCATTTTATTCTATAAAATCCAGACCAATTTTCATTTAGAATGGATACTGACAATTTCCACATTTGTGAAATATTTGGCTTCCAATCCCTAACAAAACCACTTGTGCCTGACATTAAGAATCCTTATACCAGCTAAAACAGATGGGAATCCCAAAATGTGACAATAAAGATAAAAAGAAAATTCCCACTAGATATTGTGCCATATCTTTTGCGCGCAAAGATTCCTTCATGGTACTATGAACGTCCCAGTTAAGGTCTGGTAGGATATATTGGCTTAATCATTTCGAGAATGTTATTTCTAGAACATAACTTCAATTTATCCGTAGTCTTTTCCCTCCCTAAAGAATGGCCTTATTTGCTATATCAATCTTTGTTAAGGTACATTATGCTACAGCGTAAAATATCACAGGGGTAGGCAATGGCCTAGTGGTATTATTGCTAGACTGTTAATCCAGAAACCCAGCCAATGTTCTGGGGACCTGGGTTCGAATCTCACCATGGCAAATGGTGGAATTTGAATTTAATAAACAAAAACTGGAATTAAGAATCTACTGATCACCATGAAAACATTGTCAATTGTCAGAAAAACGTATCAGGGAAGGAAACCTGATGTCCTTACCTGGTCTGGCCTACATGTGACTCCAGACCCACAGCAATATGTTTCACTCTCAACTGCCCTCTGAAATGGCCGAGCAAGCCATTCAGTTGTACCAATCACGACAAAGTCTCAAAGAAATGAAACTGGACGGATCACCTGGCATTGACCTAGGCACTGGAATAGACAAAGGCAGAAACAGTCCTAATGACCCTGCAAAGTCCTCCTCACTAACATCTGGGGGCTAGTGCCAAAATTGGGAGAGCTGTCTCACAGACAAGTTAAGCAACAGCATGACATAGTCATACTTACAGCATCATACGTTGTAGACAATGTCCCACACACCACCATCACCATCCCTGGATACATCCTGTCTCACTGGCAGGACAGACCCAGCAGAGGTGGCGGCATAGAGGTATGCAGTCGGGAGGGAGTTGCTTTTGGAGTCCTCAACATTGACTCTGGACCCCATGAAGTCTCATGGCTTCAGGTTAAACATGGGCAAGGAAACCTCCTGCTGATTACCACATACTGTCCTCCCTCAGCTGATGAATCGGTACGCCTCCATTTTGAACAGCAGTTGGAGGAAGCACTGACAATGGCAAAGGCACAAAATGTACTGTGGGTGGGGGATTTCAATGTCCACCACCAAGAGCGGCTTGGCAGCAGTACTACTGATTGAGCTAGTCGGGTCCTAAAGGACATAGCTACTAGACTGGGTCTGTGGCAGGTAGTGAGGAAATCAACGAGAGTAAAAAACATACATGACCTCATCCTTACCAACCTGCCAGCTGCAGCTGATCTGTCCGTGACAGTACCGGTAAGAGTGGCCATCGCACAGTCCTTGTGCAGATGAAGTCCCACCTTCACATTGAGAATAACCTCCATCATGTTGTGTGGCACTAACACCGTGATAAATAGGACAGACTTCACACAGATCTAGCAACTCAAGATTGGGCATCCATGTGGTGCTGCGGGCCAACAACAGCGGCAGAATTGTACGCCAGCACAATCTGTCATCTCATGGCCTAACATATCCCCACCCACTCAACCATTACAATCAAGCCAGAAGATCAACCCTGATTCAATGAAGAGTGCAGGAAGGTATGCCAAGAGCAGCACCAGGCATAGTTGAAGATGAGGTGTCAACCTGGTGAAGCCACCAAACAGGACTACTTGCATGCCAAACAGCATAAGCAGCAAGTGATAGACAGAGCTAAGCGATCCCACAACCAAAGGATCAGACCTAAGCTCTGCAGTCCTACCACATCCAAGAGGAGGAGGCTCCATAAATATCTGGCAATAGTTTTACCCCTTTTATATATTCCTTAAAGCCAATCTTTTTCTCGGCACATTTGGTTACTTGACCCGATATGGCTGTATGGAATTCTTCCACAAACAGCAAATTATTCACTTTAAATTTGGTAATGATATGCTTTTTTAGCCAATAGTATTATTATATGTGGAAGAGATGGGTTAAGGGAATTGAGGTACAGATCAGCCATTATCCCATTAAATGAGAGAACAGGCTCACGGGGCTAAATGCCCTCTTATTTCAATGTTGAAGTGATTAATAAGAGTCTAATGGGACACCAGATAAACATTAAGGTAAGAAGATTATAAGGATATATTGACAAGGTGAAGATAAAGATGAGAGGGAGGAGGCTTATAGAGTCATTACAGCAAAACAGGCATTCAGCCCAATGAGTCTGTGCAGCTTTGCCAAGTTTATATCCCCCAATGACCATGACTGCTTCCAGCACCCTTGGGAGCAGGGATTTAAGATTACGCAATAATTGTGTTAAAAACAAACATTCTTTCTCACATCCCCGTGGATATCTTTTGCCTAAAGCCTTAAAACGGTGTGCCCTCATATCATTCGGAGATGTGAGATTTGCTTTATCTTACTTCAACCTGTCAAATCTCCCTTGATGCCCTTTGCTCGAAGTAGAACAACAGTTGTTCCTCCGATCTGACATGGTAGCTAAATTCCCTTATTCCTGGAATCATTCTTGCAAACCTGCTCTGCACGCTCACATACTTCCTGAAATGTCGTTACTGGAGCTGAATGCTCTATTATTACTTATATACAAGCACCAGATCACAGACATTGGGCTGAATGGCCTCTTTCAATGTTATACATTAAAGGAACCAAGGTACCTGGATCTTCACCTGAAGTGCTGTAACCTGCAAGGTTCTGGATCAGGTGCTGGAAGGTGGCATTATCATGGGTAGCTAGTTTCTTTTTTTCAGCAGAGACACAAGGGGCTGAATAGTCTCCTTCTGTGCCGTAACGTTTTGATGGTTCTGTGGAATTTAGGACTCAGCAGGCCATTCAAACTTGTTCTGCCATTCAATAAGATCATGACAACGCCAAGTCTTTCATCTGAGTTCAATGGGTTGCGAAATGGTTGTTCAGTCTAAACAATCTGCAGAGTCTACCACACTCAGGACAGGTTTTACTTGATGGGTCGGGCAGACAGAAATGTTTGGGGGGGTGGCATTTCCAAGGCCTTTGTCACCCTCGGGTGGGGCCACGTGATTTAGGAAGTGAAGACGTGGCCCCTTTAAGAGAAACGGCAGGATTCTGCCCCGCGCGGTGGTAACGTCATCGAAAGGCGCCTGCCGTATCTAAATCGTCAATTTTCCACAAATCGTTAATTATTCTCCAAACACCAGGAATCCGCCGCAATAATTACATTAACGTCGAACCGCTGCGTTTTCTGTTTTAAAATTGCTGGGCGGTACTGAAGTGAAAGCACCACTGAACCAACTGAGGCCATTGAACTAACGGTCAGGGATTGGCGCCAAAATTTAAACTACTGGGAGGCTCCTGGAACTCCCCGAGTTGCAGTGAAATTCCGGATTTAGTTTAATTTAATACGGTGAAGGAAAATGTATATAAAGTCCATCATCATCGACGGCTTCAAGTCTTACGCGCAACGGACAGAGATTAATGGCTTCGATCCGCTCTTTAATGCCATCACCGGCCTGAACGGCAGCGGCAAGTCCAACATCTTAGACTCCATCTGCTTCCTGCTCGGAATCAGTAACTTGTCCCAGGTCCGACAGAAAAGTCGGGGGAGATGGGGATCGCAAGTTGGGAGGAAAAGGGTCGGAGGAGGTGTAGGGGATGAGGGGATGGGTTCAGTGGGGCCCAAGGGCACTTTAGGAGGTGAGAGAAAAGATAAAAATCGGGGGATCGGAGGAGGAAGGGAAGGGGGTGATGGTGTTGGAAGATTGGGTGGGGGAAGTGAGAGAGGGGTGATGTTGTAAAGTTGTGCGAGGGAAGGGGACAAAGGAGTTGGGAGGTTGCTTTGGGGAGGGGCATGAGGTGAGTCATGGAGATATACAACACAGAAACAGATCCTTCGGTCCAAATCGTCCGCATTAATCTAGTCCCATTTGCCAGCATTTGGCCCGTGTCCCTCCGAAAACACTTTCTATTCATTCAGCTGCCTTTTAAATGTTAAATAAAAAACGAAAGAACTGCGGATGCCGTAAATGAGAAACAAAAATAGAAGTTGCTGGAAAAGATCAGCATCTGTGAAGAGAAATCGGAAATGGCAGTTCTGAGGAAGGGTCACCGGACTCGAAACGTTAGCTCTGATTTCTCTTCACAGATGCTGCCAGACCTGCTGAGCTTTTCCAGCAGCTTCTGTTTTTGTGCCTTCTAAATGTTGTAATTGTACCAGCCTCTTCCACCTTCACTGGAAGCTCATTGCATACATGCACCACCCTCTGTGTGGAAAAAGTTATCCCTGATCTATGCCCTCTGGTTTTGGACTCACCTACCCTGGGGAAAAGCCCTTGACTATACACCCTATTCATGCTCCTTATTATTATTTTTTAAACCTCTATAAGGTCACCCGTCATCCGCCAATGTTCCAGGGAAAATAGCCCCAGCCTATTCTGCCTCTCCCAATAACTGCAACCATGGTAACATCCTTGTAAATCTTTTCTGAACCCTTTCAAGTTTCACAACATCTTTCCTACATCGGGGATACCAGAATTGCACACAGTATTCCAAAAGTGGCCTAACCAATGTCTTTTACAGCCCCAACATGATCTCCCAACTCCTTTACTCCATGCACTGACCAATAAAAACAAGGATATCAAATGCCTTCTTCACTATTCTATCCACCTGGGACTCCACTTTCAAGCAACTATGAACCTGCACTCCAAGGCATCTTTGTTCAATAACACTGCCCAGAACCGTACCATTAAGTGTATAAATACTACCCCCGATTTGCCATTCCAAAATGCAGCACCTCATGTTTACCTAAATTAAACTCTGTCTGCCACTCCTTGGCCCATTAGCTCATCTAATCAAGATCCTGTTGTACTCTGAGGTAACCATCTTCGTTGTCCGTACATTTACAATTTTGATGTCATCTGCAAACTTACTAACCGCACCTCGTACATTCACATCCATATCAGAGGAGAGTAGAATATTGTTGCGGGGAGGGGGCGAAGGAAGGGCTGGAACGATCTTTAAGAAATATTAAGAAACCATTTAAGAAACACTCAATTTGGTAGAAAAATTAAATGTGGAGTAACAACATTTTCCCACATGATGTTCCATCTGTGGTGACCTTGTCCACTCATTTAGCTTGTCTAAATCTCTGCATCCCCTTCACATTTATATTCCCATCTAGTTTGTGTCAACAACAAATTTCAGTGTCCATCGAATTATTGATGTAGACTATGAAATCTGGGACCCGTGCACTGATCCTTGTAGTACTAGTCACCTCTTGCAACCAGCAAATGACCAGTTTGATTCTGTTCTGTGTTCTGTATGTCAATCGTTCCTCAATCTTTGCCAGTATATTCCCTCAAACCCATGTGATCTAATTTTGATTCCTAACCTCCTTAATGGCACCTTATTAAAAGCCTTCTGAAGATCCAAATACACCCTGTCTATTCTGCTAATTACATCCTCAATAAAATCTTAACTAGTTTGTCAAAAAGATTTCCTTTTCATAAATCCATGTTAACTCAGAATCCTAATAGTATTTTCTAAGCATCCAATTATCTTTGAGATTCCAATGTTCTTTTTACTATTGATATTAGGCAACTGTTTAATTGGAAATCAATATAATATTTCAGACATTTTGGATTTTGGAATACTTTAATGCTAATTTTCATTGCAACCTTGTTTTGTTGTCTGCTGTTAGGTGCGAGCCAGCAACCTTCAGGATTTGGTCTACAAAAATGGGCAAGCAGGGATTACAAAAGCCACTGTCTCAATTACCTTTGATAACTCTGACAAAAAACAAAGTCCTCTGGGCTTTGAGACACACGATGAAATTACTGTCTCGAGACAGGTACTCTGCAACATTTCTATCGTATTTAATATTCCACAATGTTAACATGAAAACTTCTTCAGAAGAGTCTCTTCCTGACTCTTCTGTCTTATGCCTTTTGAACTGGATACTGGTCCATTTTGTATTCTCACCTTTGCAAACTGGGATTGATTCTCAGCTAGCGAAGCAAATATGACACAAGTTAATGTCAGATAGAAGGATAATTGTTTGTTCTTACTCAGTTGTGGAATCAGAGCTGATGCACTCTGTACACTCTTGAAATACCAGGGAGGTTGTTGTGCAAAGTTGTTATGACGAGGCGAGATGGTGAGAATTTTTTTTCAACCTCCCCGGTTGGTCACACTAAAGCTTTATGTTCTTTTTTAGCATGAGGCTATTATCTTTTTTCCCGTTGAAGTAGTAAGGAGTGAATCACAAGACTTTCTTCAGTGAAAGAACAATTCCTATTACCTGCTGATCCTGACAAAAATAAAAACACAATATCAAACTTACACTCGGGTGTAAAGTTAAAAATAGTGTCCTGTTCAAAAGAAAGTTGAAAGGGACAAATAGTTCTAAAATACTTTGAGTGTCCTTGAAGTAAGGTTTCAACCTGAGACCATGGTTGTTTAGTTGTGGTCTTGGATATCAGCAGTCTCAATTCTCCTTTGAGTTTTGCGTTCTAATTTTTGTTTTTAACCTATGTTGTCACTTAACATCTTTTCTTTGCATTAGACAGAGAGAGAACTTTCTCCAGCTGGTTCCAAGTGTTTGTGTATTTTCATATCTGGGTTTATTGTCTCCAAGCTTGGTAATTGCAGGGCGTGTCTTCTCCAATATGCAAATATTGGGTGTGCTATAAAAATAGATGAAGATGTTTTCATGCCTCTCTCTCTCGAAGGATGTTGACTGTCTTTCTTGCTTTTGGATAAAAATGTTCATCTCTGTTTGGGTGTCTGTTGTCCGATTCACATTGAAACTTAGTCAAGTGATTGCTGTGCCATTTTAAGTCAGTGTTTCAGTCTATGAAAGTTTCAGACAAAATCTGATCGTGGAATTCAAAAAGCATCATGACTTTGCTTTTCTGAAGATTGAGTGTGTTTGCTGCCAGGATGAAACAGATTTTTGCCTTGTCAAAAAATGTGGCATTAACTGGACAGCACTCACTTTGGTACACCGCATAATACTGTCATTTAGTGTGACGTCCTCATAATATCATGCTAATGGCATAAGGTGCTGCCTTCAGTAACAAACTTGTGAGGGTTATTGGGCACAGGATTTATATGATTTAGTGCTCATTGGCAATCTAAAGCATAATTTTACACAAATTGACAATAAATAATGTGAAAAGTTGCAATTCTCAACTTGATATCTGCCTGCTCAAATCAGATTATAAGTATTAAATGGCGTAAACAGTCTAGTTTGAGGAATTTATCGTGCTGCTTTCTGTAATCTATGTTAGAAAGACTCTGCTTACAATGATTAATAAATTTCTACAGTGGCTTCATTTCTGTATTTTTTTAAAGTTTGTGTTGTGTTTTTGGAATCATTGTCTTTTTACTGCCAAGCAATTAAAACTATTCATTTTTCAGGTGGTAATTGGTGGGAGAAACAAGTACTTAATTAATGGTGTGAATGCAAACAACACCAGAGTGCAAGATCTCTTTTGTTCAATCGGACTGAATGTCAACAATCCACATTTCCTTATCATGCAGGTTTGTAAATATGTCAGAGGATTGTAACCCCATTCACTTTCTCCATCACCATTGCGCAACAGCAGCTGTGTTCCGTCACCAAAATGCATCGTATTAATTCGCCAACACTCCTACCGCAGCACCTTCAAAACTGTTATCACCTAGAAAAACAAGTGCAATAGTTGTATAGGAAAACCATCATCTGCAAGTTCTGCTCCAATCCTCACACCATCCTGATTTGGAACTACATTTCTGTTCCTTCACTGTCACTGGGTCAAGATCCTGGAATGACTTAACAGGTCTGTAAGTGTACCTCTGTAACTTGAATAGCAAGGATTCAAGAGGCAGCTCACCATCACTGACCTTGAGGGCAATTAGGGATCATCAATAAATCTCAGCCAGTGATGCCCACATGTTGCGAAAGAGTAAAAGGAAAAGTATATATAGGCCCTTGCGTGTAATCTTTAGAAATGGAAATTTGTATATTTCTATTGTAAGTGAAGTTATACAGCACGGAAATAGACCCATTGGTCCAACTCATCCATACTGACCAGAGATCCTAAATTTAGTCCCATTTGGCATATTTGGCCCATATCCCTCAAATTCCTTTCTATTCATGTACACTTCCAGATGCCTTTTAAATGTTGTTATTGTATCTGTCTCCTCCACTTCCTCTAGCAGCTTGTTACCCTTCTCACCTTAAACCTATGCTCTCCAGTTTCGGACTCCCCTACCATGGGAAAAAGACCTTGTCTATTTACCCTATCCATGCCTCTCATGATTTTATAAACGTCTATTAGGTCGCCCCTCAGCCTCCAATGCTCCAGGGAAAATAGTCCCAGCTTATTCAGCCTCTCCCTATAGCTCAAACTCTCCAACCCTGGCAACATCCTTGTAAATCTTTTCTGAACCCTTTCAAGTTTCACAACATTCTTCCTATAGCAGAGAGACCAGAATTGAATGCAGTATTCCAAAAGTGGCCTAACCAATGTCCTGTACAGCCGCAACATGACCTCCCAACTCAATGCACTGACCAATAATGTCAAGCATACCAAATGCCTTCTTCACTATCCTGTCCACCTGGGACTCCGCTTTCAAGGAACTATGAACCTGCACTCCAAGGCCTGTTTGTTTAGCAACACTCCCAGGACCTTATCATTGAGTATATAAGCCCTGCCCTGATTTGCCTTTCGAAAATGCAGCACCTCACATTAATCTAAACTCCATCTGCCACTCATCGGCCCATTGGCCCATCTGATCAAGATCCCATTGTACTCTAAGGTAACCTTCTTCGCTGTCCACTACACTCCAATTTTATTGTCATCTTCAAACTTACTAACCATTCCTCCTATGTCCACATCAAAATCATTTGTATAAATGAAAAAAAGCAGTGGACCCAGCACCGATCCTTGTGGCACACCGCTGATCGCAGGCCTCCAGTCTGAAAAGCAACCCTCCACCACCACTATAACTGGCTTTGAACCAGTTCTGTATCCAAATGGCTAGTTCTCCCTGTATTCTATGTGTTCTAATCCTGCTAACCAGTCTACCACAAGGAACTTTGTCAAACACCTTGCCGAAGATCACATCCCCTGCTCTGCCCTCATCAATCCTCTTCATTACTTCAAAAAACTCACTCAAGTTAGTGAGACACGATTTCCCATGCACAAAGCCATGTTGACTATCCCTAATCAGTCCTTGCCTTTCCAAATACATGTAAATGTGTTCCTCAGGATTCCCTCCAACAACTTGTCCTCCACCAATGTTAGGCTCACCGGCCTATAGTTCCCTGGCTTTTCCTTACCACTTTTCTTAAATAGTGGCACCACGTTAGCCAACTTCCTGTCTTCCAGCACTTCACATGATACAAAAGTCTCAACAAGGGGCCCAGCAATCTCTTCCCTAGCTTTCCACAGAGTATCAGGGATTTATTCACCTTTATACATTTTAAAATGTCCAGCACCACCACGTCTGTAATACGGACATTTTTCAAGATGTCACTATTTATTTCCCATGTTCTCTATCTTGCATATCCTTTTCCTCAGTAAACACTGATGCAAAATACTCATTTAGTATCTGCCCTATCTCCTGTGATTCCACATGTAGGTGGCCTTGCTGATCTTTAAGGGGCCCTATTCTCTCCCTAGTTACCCTTTAGTTCTTAATGTATTTGTGGAATCCCTTTGGATTCTCCTTAACCCTATTTGCCAAAGCTATCTCATGTCCTTATTTTGCCCTCCTGATTTCCCTCTTAAGTATACTCCTATTGCCTTTCTACTCTTCCAGGAATTCACTTGATCTCTGCTGTCTATACCTGACATACGCTTCCTTCTTTTTCTTGACCAAAACCTCAATTACTCTAGACATCCAGCATTCCCTACACCTACCAGCCTTGCCCTTCACACTAACAGGAACATACTGCCTCTGGACTCTCGTTACCTGATTTTTGAAGGCTTCTCATTTTTCAGCAGTCCTTTTACCTACAAACATCCGCCCCCAATCAACTTTTGAAAGTTCTTTCCTAATACGATCAAAATTGCCCTCCTCTAATTTAGAACTTTAACTTTTAGATCTGGTCGAATTTTTCAGTCACTATTTTAAGACTAATAGAATTATAGTCATTGGTTCTTAAAAATGATAACATATTGTTTGTTTTTAGGGCCGTATCACTAAAGTTCTGAATATGAAACCTCCGGAGGTAACTATTCTAGTTTACATTTAAACCCTGATACTGTGAATTATCTATAACTCATGTGAATGCTAGTTTTGAGTTGATTTGTGCCGTTGTATGTTCAAATTCTGTTAGGCTGTTCCTGAGAGCTACTCTCTGCTCCTGGTATTTGAGAGTTGTATCTGCAAAAGAGCTGACAGCTATTGCAGGTATAGTCTGTCAGTTGTGAATCTCCATTATAAGGACCATGAAAGCGAGGTGTGGGACTTGGTTATAAACAGAAGAGATCTGCATCTGAATATATCTGAAGGAGCAAATGCTAGGTATTTAGACTATTAAGAGGACATGTGTTCAAACAACAACTGAATGAAAAGTTCAGTTTCCTTATTCAACAGAATAGAAGAGATTGCAATCTTGTTAGAATAGCAGATCTTTATAGATACAGAAGAGAATAGCAATTTCTCACCTTGCACGAGTCTCAATGCATGAAGAAATGTATTGCTTTTACATCATGTGCGAAGGATACATGAATTAGAGTTTGGTAGAAAGATGCTTTCATGGAAAACATTTATAAATTAGATGCATTGTCAGGTATCTGGCATAAAGACCACAACCTCCAGATGTACAAGCTGTAGAAGACATGACATGTGCATTGGGTTTTACAACAGGTTTTATTTTTAATTTTGTAGTGCATTGCTTGGAGTATTTGAAATAGGCTGTTAACAAGACAACGCAGCACCTAATTCTTCATTCTTTCTCCGCAGATCCTATCTTTGATTGAGGAAGCTGCAGGGACCAGAATGTATGAGTGTAAGAAGTTAGCGGCTGAGAAAACAATTGAGAAAAAGGAGGCCAAGCTGAAAGAAATTCATACGGTAAATTGGTTTGACGATTTAGTATGACTAGAAACGTTTCTAGCACTCAATATTTTTGTTTTCCACTGGTGTTGCTGTAGATTATTTTGCTTTGCAAAGTGTATTATTGAAGGACAGTGGGAAGTTACTGAGATTGACTTGGAATTATGGAGTCACAGAGTTGCACAGCATGGAAACAGACCTTTTGGTCTAACTCATCCATGCCGACGAGATATCCTAAATTACTCTAGTCCCATTTGCCTGCATTTGGCCCAAATCTCTCTCAAATTCTTCCTAATCATGTATCCATCAAAGTGCCTTTTAAATGTTATTGTACCAGCCTCCAGTACTTCCTCTGGCAGCTCATTCCATACGTGCACCATCCTCTGTCCTTTTTTCCCTCTTTCCTTAAGCCTATGCCCTCCGGTTTTGGACTCCCCTACTGTGGGAAAAAGACCTTGGCCATTCACCATATCCATGCCCCTCATGATTTTATAAACCTCTATAAGGTCACCCCCTGGCCTTCAAGTCTCCAGGGAAAATAGCCCCAGCCTATTCAGCCTCTCTACAGCTCAAACCCTCCAACTGCAGCAACATTCTTGTAAATCTTTTCTGCGTCCTTTCAAGTTTAACAACATCTTTCCTGTAGCAGGGAGACCAGAATTGAATGCCATATTCCAAAAGTGGCCTAACCCATACAGCCGCAGCACGGCCACCCAACTCCTATACTCAATGCATTGACCAATGAAGGCAAGCATACCAAATGCCGCCTTCACTATCCTGTCTACCTGTGACTCCATCTTCAAGGAACTATGATCCTGCACCCCAAGGTGATAAAAGGCTCCATGAAAATTGAATGTGTGAATCCTAATCTCTTACTGAACCATAATTGTTAGAAAGGTTGCAGTTTTGAATCTCAGCCTGTCCTCTCATCTCAGTCCAATTGGGTGACAGCAGGGCACTACAAGCCTCCATTTAAAATAATCAAAGCGATGATATGGAATTCAGATATTGAACATTGGAAAATATTGAATATTTTTCTACCCTCAATATCAGAGAACTATTTTGGCACATGCAGACAAAATACAAAACTTCACAGCAAACCAAACGACTGACATGAAGTGAGTTTCAATCTCTGAACTAAAAAGGAAAAGTATTGGACAGTAACGTCCCAAGTATGAGGGAGTGTTGCATGCATGTGATGTGCATGATGAAGACTAAACTTGTACACACTCCTGTTATTAAATAGATGACTGCTAAGTCTCTCGGCCCTGCGTTGGATGAGACACTGACACTTACTGGTGCTCATATTTAGCCCAGCAAGGATCACTGCCTTCATAAGAGGATCCAGGAGAATATTGAGATTTAAACAGTTCTAGTTCAGTTTTAAATAGGGTTGGGAGAAGAGTCTGAGTGTCATTGTTTTTGTAACTTCAGTACTATCCCTTGAGTTCCTTTTTTTAGTTGCACTATTTTGTTATATTCAGTGGGTTGTGCTACTGTTTAAAAATCAGTTCTACGTTGGCTTTTGACATGCTGGAATTTTGGAAGTGGTAGATTATTTGGATTCTAAAACTTCAAATCCATTTGAAATATTTTTGCTATTATCTGGATTGGTATTTTAAAAGGCTCCTGAGGAAGCCTGTGATGTCTTACATGTCTTATAGCAGCGAAACTAGGCAAAAGGGCACAGAGCCTTTCTTCGTTCTTTTTACCGTTACACAAATTGAATTAATTAATACCATTTATTCAATGGTGATAACCAAAAGAATTTATTACTCTTTTCTTACATGGAGCCGTTTATTAAGAAATATAGTTACTATTTTGCAGCCCCTAATCCAGATTGCATTTTCTTGTATGTGCTTGCTTAGTATTCATCATTAATGTTGCTCAATTTCAATATTATTGGAATTTTCCTAATCTTTGTTTAGAGGACTTTATGATTAGATAACAAGTTGTCATCATAATGCTTGTTAGCTTCACTTAATATTGATACAATGGTTTTCCTTCAAAAAATAATTTTAGTTTGGCAACTGCGAACAGCTATCAATAGTTCTCCAGCTTCCTTTTTGAATTCCAATGCTGCTCTATTTGTACATGGGCACAGTTACCCAAATCCTTCTCAGGCTGCACTTTATCTCTCAGCTCCCCACCCCTTCCAAAATTACCTTTTACTATCCAGTCCCAATAAATTTTCTCAAATGAACACCTTTTATGGCGCTCTCAAAAAAAACACTGCATTACTCGATGTGTTTTAAAGAAAGCCAACAGCTTGAACAAACTGATCTTTCATTGTTCATTAAGAACGTGTGCAGTTCTGTTAAAATGCACATAAAGAACAAATTTACTTGTGTTTTCTGCTATGAAATATGCTTGTGTTAGTACGTTATCTTCAGTTGTGTAAGTAATTTAAAAGTTTTGATTATCTGGATAGTACAAGTAAATTTTAAAGAAAACCTTAACCAAATTTCCAGTAAAAGCCATAAGAGTTAAAGCGTCTGTACTATGCTCTTCAATTTATTTTTGAGCTGTTGAGTATTTGGTGATTAATGTGAATGTTAACAATTATGAAATTTTGTTCCTATTGCTTCAGAGCAATATATTGCTTTGATTTTACAGAATATTAAATTATTTCTGTATTGTCTTTGAAGTGTTATGTTCAAACTAAATATTTTTAAGTATTCCTTTTTACGCTTACCACAGCTGAATTGTATGCACTTGAATTCGTGAAACAAAGTAGAAGTACTTTGGTCTAATCTTCTAATTTTGTTTCTCCCGGACTTTTTTTATATATTAGATTCTTGAAGAGGAAATTACTCCAACTCTTCAAAAACTGAAGGAGGTATGTACTTAATGGTCCTCTAATGGCAAGGGAGGAATAAAATCTAATTTGGAAATCATAAGTAGCCTTTCAGAACAGTACGCCTCCACCCTGAATTCCTGCATTTAGTTTCTATTTCCCTCAGTAATCAGAAATGGAAGATCATCTTTAATTTGATATTTTTCTCTTTAGGACACTGTCCTGCATCATTTCCTGTAAAACTGTTCACTGATGGAACCTATAGTTGACTATAGCTGAGCAGATCGCAATTGAGATAGGAATCTTGGCCCCAAACATAGATACTAAATCCAACACCAAGCCTACATAAGCTTTCTTTTTAAGGCTTAAAATTTTATTTTTTAAACTTGATTTTTACCATTACATGTTTTTTACTCTTCTCTGTTTTATGTACCCAGTGTATAGTTGAGCAGTACAAGGTATTGGGTGGTACGATGGTTCAGTTGTTACCACTGCTGCCTTACAGCACCAGGGACCTGGGTTCAATCCTGGCCTTTGGCGACTGTCTGTGTGGAGTTTGCACATTCTCGCTGTGTCTGTGTGGGTTTCCTCTGGGTGCTTAGGTTTCCTCCCACAGTCCGAAGATGTGCAGGTTAGATGGATTGACCATGCTAAATTGCCCATAGTGTGCAGGCTGGGTGGATTAGCCATGGGAAATGCAGGGTTACATGGATAGGGTAGGAGGTCTGGATGGGGTGCCGTTTGAAGGGCCAAATGGCCTGCTTCCACACTGTAAGGATTGTAAGGTAGAGATCTCTAGGATGAACCCAGATGCTAAATTACCCTAATTTTACTGTGACAGGGATAAAGATGCATCAGTTAGGAATAGGTACATCTGGGCTATAGAGGAAAAAATTAGTTAGTGCTGTTGCTGCTGATGGCTATTTACCACATTGTCTTGACATCTTTCTATCTGTGAGAAAGTTACTGGGCTGAGTGCTGCTGTTATGGCCCTTGTTGATTAGCATGCTGACACTGAAACTCAAGGCTTGCTTGCAATGTTTACTACTCGTACAAGGTACTAGAAGGCAGCCACTGTCTGTACATGAGGTTGCTGGCTTGCTCACCAAGCTGGCTGGTTATCATGCTGACGTTTCATCACCATGCTAGGTAACACCATCAGTGTGGCCTCTGATGAAGCGATGTTGTTCAATTCCACTTGGATTTTATATGATCTGGTCTGTTAAGTTGGGTTGTGTCATTTCCAGTGTTTTTTTTTGCATGGGTTTGTATACAGGGTCTGATTCCACATGTTTGTTGATTGCATTATGGGTTGAAAACCAGGCCTCTAAGAATTCCCGTGCGTGTCTGGTTGGCTTGAGCTAAGATGATCATGTTGTCCCAGTTAAATTGATGGCCTTCATTGTCCGAGTGCGGTGAGATGAGGGAAAGTTCATCGTATTGTTGATGTTCGTGTATCCTGATGGCTAGTTTCCTTCTGGTCTGGTGATGTCATGTTTGTTGTAGTCATTGCAAGGTATTTTGTAAATGCGTTGGTCCTGCATGTCATGGGTATGGTGTCTTTGGTCCTTGTGCATGTTTGTTGTAGTGTGGCTGTTGGTTTGTGTGCTATCATGATTTCTAGTAGTGGTAGGAGTCTTGTTGTCAGTTCTGATATGTTCTGATATAGGGTAGTGTGGTCAGTGTCTTGGGGCGTACTGTATCCTCTTGGCGTTGTCTAGTAGGCACCTGCGGATGAAGTTGTTTGTGATATCCGTTGTTAGCAAATACCTTGTATAGGTGCTCTTCCTCCTTCTTGCATAGTTCTGGCGTGTTGCAGTATGTTGTGGCTCGTTTGAACAGTGTCCTAACACGACTTTGTTTATGGATATTGGGGTGATTGCTGTGGAAATTGAGGATTTGGTCAATGTGGATTGCCTTCCTATATACTGTTGTTTGGAACTCTCTGTTGGTCACTCGTTCTACCCTGACGTCTAGGAATGGAAGTTGATTGTTGTCTTCCTCTTCTCTCATAAATTTGATCCCGGTGAATATGTTGTTGATGAGATGGTCTGTTTCTTCTAACTTGGTGCATTTAATGATGAGAAACGTTCACGTATTGGATCCACAGTTTTGGCTGTATGAGGAGGAGGGTTGTGCGTTCCAGTCTTTGCAGGACTGCCTCTGCAATAAGTCCTGAGATGGGTGACCCCATAGGTGTGCCATTGATTCGTTTGTTAAAGATGAAGTGTGTGGTGAGGCACAGGTCCAGTAGTCTGAGTATGTTGTCCTTGAAGATGGAGCTGTTTGGAGTTGGCATTCCTGCTGTATCCAGTAATGTGGCAAGTGTTTCTTTGGCTAGTGGTATGTTAATAGATGTGAATAGTACTGTGACGTCAAAGGATACCATAGTCTCGTCGTCGTTGATATTAATGTTCTTGAGCTTGTTAAGAAATTCTTGGGTTGAGTGGCTGGAGTGGGGTGGTCTGTCGACCAGGCGTTTTAGTCTCTGTTGTTGGTCCTTGGCCAGTTTGTGTGTAGGTGTGCCTGGTAGGGAGACAATGGGTTTGAGGGGAATGTCTGGTTTGTGTACTTTGAGTAGTCTGTAGAAGCGGGGTGGGGTTTGTTCGAGCCTTCTAGTTTCTAGTCTGTTTTGGTTTGTCCTGCATTTTTTTAGTCTCTTCAGTGTTTGAGTGATCCTGTTTGCTAGCTGCGGTGTTGGGTCTACCTTCACCTGTTGGTAAGTGTGTGTATCTGCAAGCAAAGTCTGCTTTCTCAATGTCGTCCGGTTTGTTCATAATGACTGTGATACGCCCTTTGTCTGCTGGTAGGATTACGATGTTGGGACAACAAGGTGCAGAGCTGGATGAACACAGCAGGCCAAGCAGCATCATAGGAGCAGAAAGGCTGACGTTTCGGGCCTAGACCATTCATCAGAAATGGGGG